TCCTCCTGCCTCAGCCTCCTGAGTGCTGGGACTACAGTTGTGTTCCACCATGCCTGGCTTTTTTTTTTTTTTTTTAAGTATTCCTCCTATGACCATTTGGTCTCTTTCCACCCATTACCACCCCAATACATCCTTATAATCTTTTTTTTTTTTTGTACTGGGAATTGAACTCAGGACTTTGTGCTTGCCAGGCAGGTGCACCTTATAATCTTTACTGTAATAAACCAAATTCTTAGTCTTCCCTATTCTCTACCTCCTGCATGTTTTCCTCTGTATTGTTATGATTGACTGTCATATACTACAACAAAAGAATTTGAAATGCAATGATTCAACAAAATAAAAATTTATTTTTTCTCTTGGATAGCAAGATTAGGATCATGTTCTTCCATGTATTGCTTTCTACCTCAACTGTGTGTGTGTGTGTGTTTGTGGTACTGGGTATCACTCTACTAGTGAGCTACAGACTTTTAAAATTTTTATCTTGAAACAGATTCTGAGTTGGCCAGGCTGGCCTTGAACTCGCATCCTCCTGCTTCAGTCTCCTGACTACTTTACAGAGAAACACCACCACCCTCAGCTCTGTCTCTAATTTTTGTGCACATGGTGATCTCCCTCTCTAGGGTATACACGCCCCACAAAACACAAGCAGGGATTATGACTTATTCATCTCTTTGCTGCCCATGCTGTGAGAATAATACCCTGGGAAATACCTTACATGGTAAGAGCACATCGATTCACAGCTTAAAATCTCCTAATATCTCAATGTCAGTGTCATCACTATTAAAAAAAAAGAAAAAGAAAAAGCGCCCAGAGAGGCTGGGGCCATAGGAGGGGCTCAGTGGGAGGCCACTTGGTTCAAGGCCCTGGGCTCAACCCCCAGTACTGTAAAAATGAACAAGAAGCCCTCAGAGGCCTACCTGGTCCCATGAGATCGGACATCCCTGTTACCACTGTCCCCTTGCTCTGCTCCATTTACTACATGGGCCTTCCTCAACACACCAGGCAAGATCCCCCCTCAGAGTCCTTGCGTCTGCTGTCCCTTTACTGAGACAGTCCCCCGCTATCTGCGTGTTGGTTGCTTCTTGCAAAGGCTGTCTTCTCCAACCACCTTCACATTGTGACCCTTGAAATTCTCTCCCCAGCAGTACTGAAGATTGAACCCAGGGCCTTCACACTGAGCTACATTCCCAACCACTGCACTGAACTACACCCCTATCCCCTTTTGTTTTTTTAATTTGAGATGAGGTTTTGCTAAGTCTTTAAGTTGCATCTTCCTGCCTCAGCCTCCCAGAGTGTTGGCCCCACAGGCATGTATCTGGAAATAATTCTCTTTCCTTCCCCTGTGCTTTTTTCCATCTCTGCGGCATGTATCCTCCTCTTCGTTACTATACAGTATTTTACTCATTTATTCTGTGTATTTCCTGTCCCTCCTTCCCTTACTAAAATGAAAGCTTCCCTTTCACTTCTGTATCCCCAGAGCTAAGGATAACGCCTGGCATGTAGGGGCACTTAGTAAATACATGTTGAAAGAAAGAAATAATAAGCAGTTTAATGGAAGGTGCTCAGTAAATATTTACTAAAACGAATTAAGTGTCAAGAAGATGACTGAAAATTTCAAACACTAAAAATGTTTAGAGAAATGATGCAATTGAGGGAAAGCTGCTTCTTTATACCTGGTGTCAGAAAAGGACTAAAATGGTGCATTGGGGGTGCGAGGGGCAGCTGGGCTGTGCGAGCCTCTTCAAGGAACCGCTGGTCCATCCATACCTTTTCCTCGCGAGAGGGGACCGACTGCGTGGGGAGCCCTGCTGACACAGCTGCTCGCCCAACCGCCTCCTCGGGAGGCTTGTCTGCCACACAGGTGTTTTCCCTTAAGTTGTTTTGGTCTTTGCCTCTCCCCTCGGCTTGTGAAAGACACAGAAACCTGGGGTGGCCTACGTGACACTTCTGGGCTGTACGTAGGAAACCACCACCACCCAGCATCAGGGGGTTGGGGGAGCAGAACCCATTTTAAAGCAGCTTGCAGGGTGGAACTTTTTTCTCTCCAGGCTCCGCCTTTCCACTGTTTGTGTGAAAATTTTCGCCCTGGCTTGCTCTTTCACAGCTGCCTTTGCAGGAGGATGGGGCCCCGATCCCCGTGTTCTCTCTTCCTTCAGGGACTCCATGGTATTTTTTTTTTTTCCACGCTTTGTTGCTACTACAGCAGACGCCTGCCTTCTCATTATTTGCCCTACAGGTCTCACTGTGCCTCCACTGTAAACAAAACACTTTAGATCTCAGCGAGGTGGGTGTAAGCACAGCCTTTCACTGGCAACCAGACTTCTTAAGGTGGTGTGACTGTGGTGCGTTTACTTTTAAGATGATCGGAGCAACAAAACCGTGTTCCTACACATCAGTTCAAAGAGTCAGTGTGTGTGAGAGAGAAGTGTTAATTTTTCCCTTTCATATGGATGTTGCTACCCTGCATACAATCACTCTACTGGGGCAAGGTGAAATGCTCTAGAACGCCTCCATTTACATGTGGGGATAGTTTGTGTACATATGCATGTATACATATACTAACAAAATAAAATTCCTATGCAGACTGGCAATCATTGTAAAATCTGGACATCAGCTAATTTTAGGGGTGGGGTATATAATGGTAAGGCCCACCCTAATTTCCCTGTTCCTTCTTTCCCCAACCCTAGTCCAATAAACTAAGGAGGGGGAAGGAGAATTAAATATACAACAAACAACAAAAAGTTGGCCACAAAGGTGTGGAGTTGGGAGTCCCAGCTGCTTGGCCCGGGGTGGGGGAGTGGGGCAGCTGAAGCAGAGCCCAGAAATTCAGGACCAGTCTGGGCAACACAGTGAGACCTCCATTTTGTAAAGAAAAAAAAAAATGGAAAAGAAAAAGAAAATGCAGAGTGGGTGAACCTCCTGTTTTGGGCTCAAGTGACCTCTTTTCTGCCAGCAAGGTAGCTGTCCTGACCCAGAACCCAGCTCTAGACACCTGCCTGCTTCGTTGCTGTCTGGGTATCACCCCTGTATTTTTGAAATGTTTCAGTTGAACTAGTGGATGGTGATACCAAAGGCCAGTGAGAACTGGCTGCATTTAAATGGCAGTGACCACGGTGACAACAAAGGAAACATCTGCAGGGTTAAACCACAGGGTCCCACAGGGCCCTCCTAGCTGTGACATTCTGAGTGTAGGAGGTGAGGCAGGCACACAAAATGGATAAGATGTGGCCAAGAGAACAAAAATCAAACTCATTGATAGCATAGGTGTGTGTACAGGATTGCAAGTTGGAGCCCAGCCTGGGAAATTTAGTGACTTAGGAAGAAGACCCTGTCTTACGAAGAAAAAAAAAAAAAAAAAAATAGAGCTGGGGATGTAGCTCAGTGTGAGGGCCCTGGGTTCAATCTCTAGCACCGGAAAACAAACGAAAATCAACCAAACACAACGCCCAGGAGGTTTCCTTATAAACAATAAGCTTTGTCTCAGCTGTGACAGTCCTGCCCGTTCTGTTCTGAACTTCCACTACAGCGCCCAAGCCCACACCTACAGATAAATCTGAGGTTGTAAAGAGAGGCAGCGAATTGTCCAAATAATAATACTAGATGTTAGGGCACAGCTTGTGGTGGCTTTGCAAATCTCTTCATCTACTGGACTTTGGTCCTTAGGGAAATCGTTTTGCCCTTTACCAGCGCACAGCTGTCTGCAAGAATTCACTTGCATCTGAATATTGCTCTGAGTGGGTTGGAGCAGTGAATCTGGTGGGAGAGAAAAGCGGAGGAAGGAAGGAGCTGTTGTATTTGGCGGCTAGACTCAGGTAGAGGAAACGGTTACAGCCCAGGAAAGAACTAAAAAGTATAAAGAGACCAGTTCTCACGCGCAGCCCTTGTCAGCGGCCTTAACTGTGCTGGGGAGGAAAGAAGCCGGGCCAGGGGTCTAACCTTGCTTTTTCTTTCGAAACTCAATGTGTCTGAGACGGCTGGCTACAAAGTTTAAGGGACTTAAAAGACCAGGCCAGGTTTTGATCTTGAGATTCTTATTTCACTGAGGGCGAGCTGGGATTCAGAACACATTATAAACGCGGCTGTCCTGCTAATTTATAGAAAGACGTTTGCCCCGATCCTTCCTTAAGCCTCCGGCCTCCGCCTCAGGAGAGACCTGGGGTGGAGGCGAACTAACCACTGCCCACCCCCAGCGAAGGCGCCTAGGCAGGGGGCTCGCGGGTCCGGCCCAGAGGGGGGCCGCCGCAGAGAGCCTAGCTGGGGAG